ATTTCCTACAATAATAGATAAATAATAGGGGAGAGTGGGGTCAATTGCAAATTTTTTTACTTAGCTATTTTTAATTAACAAAAAATTCAATATATTATTAGTATTAATTGACAGACGAGTAAAGTAGACTATCTTCTACTAGAAAAAGAATAAATACCTTATTTTAAATGTTATTATATTAGTTATTAAAATTTTTGACAGTCGTGCCCTTGTTGCAATTGTCCCCACTTACGGGGTCAATTGTAACAGTTCATAAATTCAACTAAAACATAGTTAATTATCCATATTATCATAGTTGTGATATATTTTTTTATTGATCAAAATAGTAGTGATATTTTAGGAGTAAAAATAATAATGAGCAGAGACCTAAAGTGTTAAACTTACAACTGTAAGAGGTTAAAAATTTTAATTCATGCTGTGAAAGGTGACAAATAAAATAATTCCCATGCAACATAACATAAATGATATAGGAAACTATTGGTGGTTCTTAAAGAGTTAAGTAATGGTTTGCAAGCATAAGATTATTTATTTTCATCTGTTACAATCGTCCCTTTACTTATTGTTACAATCGTCCCCAAGACGCCATTTCAGCTTCATTTGTTAAAACCAATGCTAGTTAATTAACAAAACTTTTTTTTAAATGTTAATTAAGGTGTATACATATTAGGTTGATAAGTTTTATTTGTTTAAACAAAATTACTTTGTTACAATATAATATTCTAATACCGAAAAAATTACTAACGTAGCGTGAAAATATCTTTTGTGCTGTAACTCTTTCAAAAGTACATAAAAATGATTGCCAGCAGGGGTGTACATGTTGATTTATTAAATACACCTTGTGCGCCACCTAGGAACCAAATCTAGAACCCGACACTCGAAATTTTTGCTCTGTTATAATCGTACCCTGTTACAACTGACCCCACTATTCCCCTACTTATATAAAGTATGTAAGGTAAAAAAAGTGAAAAGATTTAAAAAAAAAAACACTTACTACACGATATTTTTTCAAAGAAATTGAAATTTAAAATGGATTAATTAATAAAATTGGGCCTTTCAGTATGTCAATTTTTAACCCTGTCGTCATATTTCTTCAGACTGCATAGTGACTCACTTTGTATAGTTTGTATTAAAAAATTTTTAATTCTCTAAATAGCTATGAATCAATAATGTTTTCTTCCATAGTACTTCTTCTACAATTTGCTACACACAATTGTTATTTCAAATTTCATAGTTTCATCATTTTTGTGAAGCAAATCAAAGTGTAACAAAGTTGAACTCCAGTAAAAACATCATTTGCGGCATTCCTTGCAACTTTTATCATGCAAAGATTTTTTTCCATTAAAGAAATGCACTGAAGAGCCATTACATTATGACCAACCTGCTAATAACACGTAGGACCACCTTTAGCCCTCAAAACTGCTAGCACCCGCCGTGGCATTGATTCCACAAGGTGCTGATAGGTAGTCTGAGGTATCTGGTACCAAGCGCTCACCAACTGGTCCTGAAATTCCCTCACATTGGGAGGGGGTAGCGTGGCAGCAAGAATTTGGTTTTCCAAGTCGGACCACAAATGCTCTTTCGGATTAAGGTCAGGTGAAGTTGGGGGCCAAGACATGACTTGAAAGTCACTGAATGTTCCTCGAACCAATCCATGACGATTCGACTCTTATGACATGGTGCATTATCCTGTTGGTAAACACCATCCCCCGCAATAAATGCTGTTGCCATGAATGGGTGAATCTGGTCTGCAACTATGTTCAAGTAGCTTGCAGACGTCAGGGATTGTTCTATCAAGATTATGGGTCCTAATGTGCCCCATAAAAACATTGTTCCTGGGCGAGAAACCATGAAAACGTGGACGAGCCCATTGTTATAGATGGTGAGTGGCCATAATGTAATGGCTCTTTGGTATATACTTGTAGTATCTGGGCGGTACTTTATTATCTTGCTTGCTATGAGTTGTTCCCAATGCCCTAACTAAATAAAAACTATACTTTTAAGTGGAGTAAATAATTCTGGAAAAATTACCGTACTGTACGTCAATGACTTTTTTAATTAAATGAAATATAATCCCGGTTAATAAAAACAAAATGTACGATATTTAAACCATTTATTTTGTATTATTTCCGTTCATATGGTTTGCCAGAAAATTACTAGATTTACCAAATAATTTATAAAACTAAGTTTTTTCTTTAATTTAGCCAAAATCATTACCAATGCACTTCGCTGAAAATTACCGAGTATTTTGGTATTCTTCTCGAGTCAAAAACACGGAAATTTTTATCATATTTAATTTTTACCAAGCTTTTTTTCTCAGAGAAATATTTTGAATTAAACTCAATTTTTGAAAACAAAACACACTGTATGCTAATAGAAATATGAAATAAAGAATTTCAAGTAAATAAAATACCAAACATCCGGATTAAATGATTAGATATTCTAATTAAAAAATTTACAGATTTTTATGGAACGAACTGATATCATGATGATTTTTTAACATGATTATTATTTAGCGTTACTTATTATTTGAACATTAGTAAACGTTGCGTTTAATAAACGTAAATTTTGAGGACGATTTCGATTGTTTATAATCAAATCATGAGAAGTAATTAAAATAGTTCGAAAGCAGTGTTGAGGAGTATTAGTTAAAAAGACAGTCGGAAAGGTTTTCTCTACACTGTAAAAAATTTCTGATCAAAATGCGGTATAAAGTGCAGACACTTTTAGACCTCATCATCCGCAAAATGCATTTTACTGTAAAATATTAAACAGTAAATTTTGCAGTAATGTTTATTAAATTATTCGGTGATTTAACAGTAATTATTATTCTAAAAATTACGCCAGATTAGATTTTTTATTTTGTTTTTTTCGTTTCGATTTTTTATTAGGTTTTTTATTTATTAAATTAGAATGATTCAGTGATTTTACGGTAAATATTATTCTGAAAATTAAAGTATATTAGATTTTTTATTTCGAAAATGTTGCGCTAAAAATGAATTTTACGGTAAAAAGTGTCAGTACTTATTACCGTACTTTGATCAGGAATTTTTAGCAGTGTACTTTGACGTTGGTAGTTGTGGTCTTACAGGTTAAAAAAATAAACAAGTTTTTGATATAAGAATCATTAAAGCAAATATATTCAGAAATGGGCAATTGCTAGAGACTAAGGATTATAGTAACGATAGCAACCACAAAATTGAAGGGTGGAAAACTTAAAAATTAGTGTAAGTGTGAGATACAGTGTGACGTGATATGCGTTTGCAAATTTCGGTTTGTTGAACTGGTTTTTCACGACAGCGCTGATAAGATATATAAAGAATTTGACGCGTATTGAACGCTGATGTTCAAAATCAAATTTTTGCGGGAAACAATCATATGTCGAACTTGCAAGTTTTGATATGTCTTCCCGACATGAATTAGATGATTTTACTCGTGGCCAAATTACCGTCAAGATTGAAGAAGGCCGAAAAATAGCAGATGTTGTTGAAGAGTTCGACGTCAGAAACAGTGTTGTTTTCAGACTTTGGAAATCATTTCAAAGAATTGGAATGCGTAGCATGAGAGAGGTTGGGTTTCTTGTACGACGCCTACAGAAGATAGGTACACAGTCTTACACACAGAGACATGTGTTGCATTGATCCACTAAGAAAACAAAACTCAGAAAAACTTTGAAAAATCTTTAATAATAAAGAATAAAACGTTAAATTCATACATTCAAAAACAGATTTTATTTAAAATTAAAAATTAGTTAAAAATTTAGTAAAATAGTTTCACTGTATCATTTACAATGTGAAATATTGATATCTAGTTTTCTTATCATGGTTTAGCTAAATTTCAATATTTTGTACAAATGTATATTTTAAATTCATTTCTTTATATACTATCGTATATGAAGTGTAGTTTTCATTAAAATATTTTTAAACTACACTGTACAGAAATAAGTAATACATAAGTTATATTTCAAATTTTTACTTACTAACAATATACAACATTTTTCGAGAATTTGATAAAGTTTTTATTGTATAAAAATGTGAATCGAGTTCTCAAACAAATGATATTAAAAAAGTAAAACGCAGAGTTGAAATAGTTTATTTGAAATAGTTAAATTTGAAGCTTTTTTCTTTGTTAATAGAGTATTTTGCAATTTTTTAGTTAATCTACGGGAATATAGTTTGATCAAAACCAATTGTAATAAAATTAGTTTTTATAATGCATTTCTTTTACGCGTAGTGACATTTAATAAACTGAGGAAAATATTACTAATTGTTAAGTGGCACTGTTGTAAACCAAAGATTGCAAGCCTAATAAATTAATTGTAATTCTTTACACTGTTATAAACCACGTAATGGCAAAATTGAAATTAATCATTAAAATAGACAAAAAGATAAAGTAATTTACAAGGCTTTCACGAAAGTAGCACATATTTTTTAATAAAATTTTTTTTTCTGTAGGTTAATCTGATATTAAATGAAGTAAATTCTTCATCTTGCAATGAAAAAAACGATTTTCATTGCAATTTTGTCCTGAAATTCTGAAAGCTAAGATGAATTATGTAAAGTGAAATAATTTTATTACATAATAAGATAATACTAATAGTTTTCTATTCTTGAGGGGTTTCAGTGACTGGTAATAATTTTTTTAAATTCTATAAGTTTAAATTCTATAAGTTTTAAATTCTATAAGTTTTTTATTAAATTTTTTGTTACATTATTTATTTGTGAATGTCATTAATCATATGATTTCATTATTCTTCAAAGTATGATTCTTTACACCTATTATTTTGCAGTGCATTAATGCAATTATAAATTTGGCTTCGAAGTATGAAGAAATTAGCAATATTAAGCTGAAATTTATTTTTATTATTCATGAAAAAGAAAGAAAAAAAGGGCGTATTCTTATTTAAATACAATTTGACTACATTTTGTTACTCATATCAGATGTTTTTTAAGATGTAAAAAAATATGTATTAGTTTACAATAGTTTAAATCTTGATATTTCAGATTATAGAAGAACTAAACACATCCGTGGCTAGCTTCCGTGATCTTTTGATTCATGTGGGAAAGGGACACGATAGTCCTGAAGTTAGAGATAAAATGAAGAATGTTCGAAAAAGGTGTGTAGAACGTTGCTCTGCGGCTAACAGAGTACTCATGCCACAAATAAAGAGGTAAGTAGAATTAATTCTAATTAAAATCTTAAAGTAATACAAATCAATAAATGAACTTGTGTTATGCCCAACACTGTAAAAAACGAACACTCAGATGTCATGAGGTTTTTGGCAAAACCCTTTCCTGGTATGTGTCCCGAGCGAATTTTTCGACAAAGTGATCAAACACCTATCGTCATTTCTTTGAGAAAAATAATTTTGTCAAAATTAAGGAAATATTTCACTATTCTATTTTTTTAACAAAAAAAAATTATTGCTTAGCACATCGAACTTTTCTAATTATCGTGGGCACTACGTGGGTGGATTAATGTTGTCCTAATGACGCAAGAAGGACGAATACAACGGAGAGATACACTCAAGCCTGAAGTGGGATTCGATCCCGGAACCTTAGTTCGAGGCCAACTCCTTGACCTCCATATAGGCCACTTGGCTTACTTCGTCACTTTATTTTTGATCGTCTAGTCTTCTTTGGAATTTCATCGTTCCAGTTAACAATCTCCCACAATACACTACTATGAGTCTTCGAGTTGAGGAAAAATTTTCGTCAGATATTGAGATTTCGCGTCTCTTCACAAATCACGTGATTTCGAGGCAAAATTATTCTCGAAATTAACGAAATATAGCTCGAAAATCGCTGTATCGTCAAAAATGAGAGTTTTATTTCTTAGAGTGAAGCCATTTATTCTTATTTTTGTATATTATGAAGGAACGTTTCACGAACGTTTAAAACTAATTTAGGATATATTTTTTTAATTGTTAGAAAGGTAAATTTAGGAAAATGAAATGAAATGTTTCGAAAATGATTTCTGAAAAACGGAATTTTTTTTTACCCTTTCATAATTAAATAAAAATAAAAATGTTTCCCTTTTATGCAATTAATTATGAATATTTTTGCATCTTTTGTTTAAAAATGAAATAAATTAGAGTAATTCATTCTGCAAACAAAGAGCACTGATGGCTACAAAAGATTAATTTAAAGTTTTCCTTCTTAATCGGACACTGAATATTTGCGTTTAAACATACTACAGTTAAAAGATTAAATAGAGAAATTTGTAAATCAAAATTACATTGTTATGAATAATAAGTTTAAAAAGTCCAACATAATTCTGTATTTAAGAAGTATTTTTCAAAAAAAATTAAATGAAAATAAATTTTTTAATTAAAACTGGAAATTGTTTTTTATCAGTTTCCTAAACGTGATTTTTTCCAAGTGTGCTCTTTTTTGCCAATTTGGCAACATTTCTAACAATTTTCCAAAACTTACAATTTAAATAATTTACTTTTATGCATTCAAAATTTTATCATGCAGTCAAAACTTTCAAATGCATTAGGAAAACTTTAGCTTATTTCTCATAAAATAATGTTTTTGCATATGAAAACCTATTAAAAAATTCAGTACTTCGGGTACCTCAGTACTCCGAAAATTCCGTACTCCACAATCGAAACATGTCGCGAAAGACTTGCAAATATGAAAAATACTATTTTTAAAATTAAATTTCCAAGTTTCATTAAACTTTTAATAAAGAACATCATAACTTATTTTTAACGTTCATATATTGCTAAATTATGAGTTTCTAAATGTAAACTTTAAAATACATTATCTTTAATATATAAACTTTGAAATACATATAAACTTTAATGCATAAACTTAATATAAACTTAAATATAAACTTCATATAAACCTTAATATATAAACTTTAAAATATATTAAATATGAAAAATATTATTTTAAATATAACGCATCTCTCTTACCTGTAAATATATGACTACATGACTTACTAGGCAGATAATGTGTCGCATAATTTAACAGGTGTATTTCTATGTTTCACCGAGAATTTAAAACTTATTTATCAAAACTCATTAAGTAATTTTAACGAGTTCCATAAAGTAAAGAATCCCAAATTTCATTCATTATTCAACATTTAATGATGCAAGACAAAACATATTCCAGTCATGAGTTCTAAGTCAACATAAACACAGCGGAACTAGAAAGAATCTACTAAAATTCATTTATATAAGATTACCAAGAAAGTATTTGGTCCTTGCACTAGTGTAATTTAAAATGTATTGTAATATGACTATTTTCAGCAGCGAAACATGCGCCTACGAGGTATTAGTTATTATTTGGAACTTGCATAGAAATATTTAATGCATATTCATTTTGTTATTCAATTCGTATCATAGGTATATTAAGTATTTATTTGAATCAGACTCTCTCAAAGCAGTTTTGTGTTGTTTTGCTTTAATTAGAATATTTTCTAAACTAAGAATGTTGAGGATAATTAACGCGTAACGATTGCATAAAATAACTGCTCTGTAAAAAACCGTATAATATTTTATAATTTTCATAGTAATATTTTTTTAATTAAAGATATTCAGGGATTTTAGGATAATTATTACTGTACAATTTACTGAGTATCAAATTCATTGTTCCGTAACACGTTCCGGTAAAAACCAGATTTATATAATATATATATATATACATATATATATTTTCAAAATGAAGAATAAAACAAAGAAAAATTATAGACATATGAAAAAAAAGGGGGGGGGANTTATAAAGATTAAATATTAATGATTAGAAAGTAATTAAACTTCTAAATATTCTCAACTGAAATTTCCAGGAATACGGAATATAGGAAGTATATTTTTTTTTTGTAATTTCTATGATTGAATTAAAATTTTGCGTCTGAAAATATAAGTTATATTTTTGTAACAATCACTTTTCTGATGTCAATGAAAAAATATATATACTAGGGGGGTAAGACCCCTGCTCTCGCTGCCGCACACCAACCCCGATAAATGCTTCACAATTATTGTCGCTTCTTGGCAGAACACAATTTTTCCACTATAGTTAAAATTATTCTCTTAACATATACAGGTATGTAGTAAAGGAAATTCTGTTTTCTGACGCTTATGCCTCTACTTCCCACGTCCAAATATTATTATCTATTAGTATTATAAATATTTAGATCTATTGGTAAGCAGAAGTAATTTTTGAAAGTAATCATTTTTTAAAAGAAAAATTGTTATAACAATATATTGTTCAAACAAATTTGATGAGTTCACAACCATAATTTAGAATTTTCGCTTACCATATGGGCGGATATATTAAATATTATTTTTGCTTGCAATATAATATTTAATATAATTGCAAATATTTTTTTGCTCATTGCGCATGAAGCCTGATCGTTAAGTTGTAAATCATTTAACAGTAACTTATTATACAGCATATTAACGCTACTTGCACAACAATAATAATTGTAAAACGGTGAATAAGATTTGAAGACCTTTTCTAACTAACTTCATCTTAAAATGTAGCGCGGGATTACATTATAATAATAATAAAAAATACAACTATTCTCTTAGTTTTAAACTCGAAAATTGAGTAAAAAACGTAATAATAGCTGTACAGGAAAATAACTTTAAATTAGGGACACAAAAATCTTTTTAAAAAAGAAATCTCCTTACGACTTATATTAGTTTTATGCTGATGACAACCAAAACAAAATGGAAATGAATGAGAAAAAACTTGATCCTACCATGTGATTTTCCGGCGTTCTCAATTTTAATTGACTGTTTTGTGCGTTTCTAACCGCAAGTATTCTGTGATTGGTTGTGTGTTATGTGTATATATATATGAACTGTGGTGATGAGAACCCATGATACCAAGGTGTATAAAATAATACCCCAATATCACCATCCTGAACATTCTTGGCACCTAATATAAAGCCTTTTTTTATTATATGTTGTATATTCCGGTGCGGCTGCATTATACTGGATTTACCATAATCTGAGTCAAAAGCTCACTAAAATAAAGATTAACTATTCTGTAATTTAAGATGTTATTATTCAGAAATTATCATATTTTTTTCATGGCCCATGGCTTAGTTAATAACTTCAATTCTATTAAATTAGTTCTTGTTGAGTTTCCATTATTTAAGTTTGTAGAGTCACGCCGTAAAATCGCAGGTATGAATAAAAAAAAAACCTTGGTTTCATAAACCTTTTAAAATACGAATCCGCTGACGTCATCACCATACATTATAATTACAAATTCAAATTATTAAACATTATTGAATTAATGATAAAAGCAAAAATGAGAAAATATCAATTTAATACTTAACTAATATATTTGACTTGTTTCGATGATCTTGTGTGAGTTTGATATTGTCCATAATGATCTCATTGAAATTTTCTGTCCTTTAAGTTCCTTTCTTTTCATAATTTATATTTTTAGATATAAGTAGCTTGCTTTTCAACTGTGTAATATGTCATAAACATATTTACTAATAGATGGCAGCACAAATTACTTTTCTCTGGTGTTTTGAAGTCCTTTGATACCAAGATTCTAACTCACAGTAGTAATAAAAATTTTAATTTTGTCTTTACTTTTTTTTAATCAATTCGTAAAATTTTAGTGGGAAACAGCGATTGTCAAGAAATAACTATTAAACTTGCACATAACAACATTTGAAAAAAAGTTGTTCAAAAAGATAAGGAATTACGCTTAAATATTAAGTATTCTATTTTTATCTATTTTAACGTAATTTATAATAATATAATGTATGATTTTAATAGATTCGTGAATTTTTTTTCTTCTTCTAATTACTGCAAATTAATCTAAGCGATTTGTGTTATAGTTATAGTAAATAATTTGCAACACTATTCAAACTTATATCAATTCAAAATTCTTCTTTTTTTTCTTTCTTTTTTTTAAATGAAAAAAAAAAACAAGTAAAAGTGTTAGGATCGTTCGATTTTTCGTAAACTCTGCGAAGATTAAGCATAATCATTAAATATAATTTTATTTTTAATCATAATCAATATCATAAGTAAAAAGTTTCATAAGTAAAAAAAAGGTTTAAAAAAACTTTTTCTAACTGCATCATTCAAAAAAAAATTATCCATTCTTACTTATTTGAAGAAAAGAAAAGTTTCGAAGTGAAAAGAACATTAAAAAAATTTATTGATTATTGAATTAAACAATAAAATATTTC